CCTAGCACGTTGTCACCTCTCAGCTGGACCAAATGGATTTGGTGGCTCTTATTTGGGTGTAGAGGCTCTCCACTCTGTGGCAGGGGCAAGGATGGTGTGATAGCAAGGGATTTAATGATCTCTTGATTGACAAGGAAGCTCTCAGGGCTGGGAGTAGGGGAGCAGGTGGGGTGGTCAATATCCTATAGGTGGCACATTATCACACAAGGATGTCATGTGGATTAAATGAGATAAAACACATGGAGAACTTAGTACAGTGCTTACCACAAAGACCATCCTCAATAAATGTGAGCTATTTTTGTTATTCCATATGACCATACATGTCCTCTTTGAATTTAAGACAGATACCATGCTCTCTGAACATTGCTTTACTTCTAGGAAGGGAAAAAGGTTGGATTCTAAAATCCTTGCTTTTGTCTTCGACTTCAGGGAAAGCTGGGATGGTTAAAGGCAATTTTGCCCACTGTGGTGATGGTACCAGAATCAGCCATATCACTTACAATTAGCAAATCCTTTTCCATTTTGAATGGAAGCTGTGGGTGACTGTAGCAAGGGTCACTATTATGATTCAATGTCTATTATGAAAGCAGAGCCAGGCAGGCACCATTTGAGACCTGTAGAAGATATGGGCATGGATTTGAACGGCCGGTTATTTAAATAGCACTTACTACTATTACTGGCACATTGCAGTTGCTCTATACACTTGGGTTCATCTTTTACTGTTTTTTTTTTTTTTTTTTGTTAATAATTTAGAAAGAAGTTGGGGCAGACTGATTATTCTCTTGCATAAGTAGTGTGTGTGCCTGTGTGAGTGCATGTGAATAATTTTATTCTGTACAAAAAAGTTATTTTTCCATTTATTGTGTTTTCTATAGTTATTTACTACTTTGTATATAAGAGTTATTGACAATAATTTTTAATATTTCTTGAGCACTTATTATTTTCCAGGCACAATTAGAGCATTTAAAACATTTATCTTGGCCCGGAGCGGGGCTCAGCACGTTGGGAGGCCGAGGCGGGTGGATCACAAGGTCAGGAGATCGATACCATCTCGGTCAACATGGTGAAACCCTGTCTCTACTAAAATACAAAATTAGCCAGGTGTGATGGCGCATGCCTGTAATCCCAGCTACTTGGGAGGCTGAGGCAGGGTAATCGCTTGAACCCGGGAGGCGGAGGGGCAGTGAGCCGAGATCGCGCCGCTGCACTCAAGCCTGTTGACAGAACAAGACTCCATTTCAAAAAAAAAAAATCATATTCATCTCATTGAAACCTCATAATAATTCTGTGCGGAAGGTAATACCCAGATGTGAAAATCAAGGCACAGAAGAACAAGGCCACATAGGTAGTGAGTGAGCCAGCTGGGATCAGGACCTGGGTGGTTTGGCCCCACAGCCTCCTCTCTTAGCCTCTCTACTGCCACTCCTGATAGTATTAGACTGACTTGGAAATAATTCTCATTTCTGAATTTTAGAGGGGCAGATTGAGAAGGATTGATTGATCACTTTTCAGTTTATCTAAGAATATCACATTGGTCAGGCTATGGCCCATTGATTCCCTTGATAAAGGTAGCATTTATAAAAGGCCATGGAAGAGCTTTGGGACATATTTAATGGATATTGTCAGCAGAGAGTGAGGATAATGGGTATAGGATCAAAGGGCCTCTTATTTCTCCCAGGCAGTTTTTCTCACGATGTAAGCCCTAATGCTCTATGGAATCTGTTGTATGCAATAAATTAAACTTTCTCTTAGGCATCTAAAATGGTATTATGAAAGTATTATCCTTGGGAGGATTGAGAAAATAATTGCTAAAATAATTTTTGATATTCTGTCATTCAGATGGAGATCTTCAGTTGGCAAAAGGATGCCTGGAGATCCCTCCATTTTCATTTTCCTGGGATCATTTTAAAGCTTCAGCAACATCAATTAGACAAAAAACAAACTCTTGTTTCAAATATTTTCACCAAGTGTTTCCAGGAATTAACATAATTTTTTTTTAAATCACCATGAATAAACTCTCCTAGCAGTCTTATTAATTTTGCCCAATTATTGCTTTTCTGCAAAATTTCTTTATCCTAGCAACAATTTTTGACTTGAAGTTGTAAGTTTTATATGTTGTTAGAAATTCAGGTTAGTGCACAATGATTAGTACAGAACTTGAAAGTGTATATATTTGACCAATGACATGGAGACAAGCCACTCTAAATGAGAAAGAAAAGAGGAATTATATTTTTTCCACCAACACAGAACTCCAGGGATCATAAAATAACATACCATAATCAGAAAGACTTAAAATGTTAATTATCAGGTACTTCTTACCAGAGATAGTTTTGAAAATAAAGCTGTAAAAGGTTTGTGCCTAATTATGTAGCTGGACTAAATGGATTTGGTGGCACTTATGCAATTGTAATCACAGTTCATATTATTTTCAAATTCATGCAAAAAGGTTTTTCTCCGTTTAAATATTTGGGATTATGATCTTACTCATTAAATATGTTAAAGGTTGATTAGAATTGTTGACTGATTTAATCAGTGGAGCAAACCCTTTTTATAAAAATAGAAGACTTGTGAGTGATTATTTTAAAAAAATCTTCACATTTTTAATATTTTGTTTTTACAAAAATATATACTTATACAATTTGGAATATAGAGGTAAAAATATAAGGAAGAAAATGGGAATCACTCCAGAATCTCACCACCTAGAAAAAATCTTTTAACTATTTGATTTTTGACAGCAAGAGTGAAATTTATTTTAATTGTCTTAGTTTGGGTTCTCCCAGAAGGAGACCCTGAGCTAAGGATTTCAGTACAAGTGATTTATTAAGGTAGTGCCCCCAGGAGAAACCAGTGAGGGTATGGGGAATGCCAGATGGAGAAGGGGAGGAAACTGAGCAGAGGTACAATTTTAGATGAAAGGTCAGACATGCCATGATCCCACCATGGGCTCTGGAGCATGCATTCTACCCTAGAGAATATCTCTAGGGTAGAATTCTTTATCTCTTTGAGGTAAAGAATATCCCATACTATTCATTCATTGGCTTTGGGTCATACCTGTGGGAATTGTAGAACTTGCATGTAACTCTCTGCATGGGCAAAATCGCTCCAGTGCCCAAGGGCAGTGCTCTGAGAGTGACAGAGGTGAATCAGTTGCAGCAAAGCATTGATAAACCTAGAGGTGCGCGCATAGAACTGACAAAAGGATTCAACAGTGTCAGTCAGTCTTATTTATGCCAGGAGGCAGCAGATCATCAAGAAATATATTAAATATCGAAGGATAGACTTAGAGGCAGTAATGGTAAGTAATTCAGCATTGTGATTTCCTCTACATTTAATTGCTGATAGTAAGATTACTAACTTCTATTGATTGGTAATAACTGGTTTGTTTCCCTGTTGTAGAAAGTAAGGCACATCGGGTAGGGACACTTGCCTTAGGACTGGAGATAATTTTTGAGGCTAGATGCCACCCATCATGGTCTGGATTCAGGAATAAAAATGAAGTCCCGTTGCAAAGTGGGGCAGAGAGTGAATAGCAGGATCAATTCTCAGGTCTTAGGGACAATTCTAAGATGGGAGAAAGTTAAGAGTTACCTTGGGAAGGATTGGGAATACAGATAAAAGGAGAAGAAAAGACAAGACTAAGAATGCCAGAGACTGGACTGTCTGGACTGGAAATTCTGAGAAAGGAGAGGAAGCCATGGTGCAAATATTCCAAAAGATGAGCAGTTGGAAATTTATATTTGACATACACAATTGTGTTACTGTTCCAATTTAAGAATGGGTATTCCTGATATAGTGGGAGTTCTTGCCAAACAAGAGAAATGTGGAACCACTGGGATGACAGTCTCTTGAAGATGGAAAACTCACTCTCTCCTGCATCCTTCTTGACTGTACACCTTCATCCTATTCTTCCACCTATGTTGGGAACTACCTTTTGGCCTTAAATGAGACACCTCCTCTTGAGCTTGCTTCTTGGTTGACTTAAGCATCCCCTTAAAAATGAGAGAGAAAAAGTAAATATTTTAGATAAAATAAGGGACTCTCACCATTTAAAAAAATAGTAATTAATGGAATAATTTTTAAAAAATTGGCATCAAACTTAATACACATGCTAGTAATGTCAACCAAAAGGACCTTGGATGAAGTAAAGTCATAAAGATTCACCTTCTGAATATGATACACGTTATTGTAAGTGATTTTATATCTAGGGAAAATCTAGTGCTCAGCTAACTGATCCTCTTTCAGTTCTTTCCTGCCTGCATGCCTTGGCTCTTTTCTGCTCTCTTTGCCAGGAAAGTCCCTTTTTCCTTTATTCCACTAATCAAGTTCCCCCAAATGTGGCATCTTCATAATTTCTCCCAACGTGAGCAGAATTAATTATTATTCTATGACACATTATAATACTTTTATTAGAGCATATTTTTTAGACTTACTGTTCTGTATGTGTTATGGTTTCTAGTTTATGAGGCTTTATTCTCCCTTCCATCCAAACTGAGAACTCATTAAGAGCAAGGAAGATATGCTCTCTATCAATGGATTCACAATGCCTGTTATCCAGGGGCGTGCCAGAGCTCACATAAGCTCAATTATATATAACTTCCCAACATTGCTTTGCGTGATACCATGTTAGTAGCTCAAAATCAGCCATCCTGGAGTATTTACATCATGGAAATTAAGAAATGTTATAAATTAGGCCTCACCTGCCCAAGAGTTAATGTTAAACTTTTATCAGTGCATCACTGTTAGAATCCTTCTGCTCCATAGAGAAGATACTTCAAAACTGTTGAATTTGAGGCTTTTAGGATATAGAAAGGGACATTTACCTTATATTCTAGGGGTCTCATTAATTTAATTTGTGGCATTATCATTTTTAGTGGAATCCCTGGGAGTATTAATTATTATATGTTGTTATCACTGCAGGCTATTAACAAAGAACATTATAAGTTTGTTCAATTGACTAAAAATGTGAACATCTTTTTCTTTCCCTAATATTTGGCTTCCAGGGTGGAGTTTTAGTAAAAATTACGGAAATGTGTCCTCCTTTGAACTGCTCAGAAAAGGATCACATTCTTCCTGAGAATCAGTGCTGCCGTGTCTGTAGAGGTAAGTGGGCTTGGTGGTGGGCCATGCTTGGGGTGAGGCTGGGGCTGGCCTTGGGGGTCATGAGAGTTTAATGAATAATGTGATGATAATAACATGGGTCCAAAACTCTGAGCTGCTCCTTAAAAAGGTGCATATCCTATTTACCTCTCTCAGTCATAGTCTCCTCAATTGTAAAATGAGTATAATAATAGTATCTACTTAATTATATGCTGTGAAGATTAAATGGGATAATGCATAAGCACCTACCATCATGCCTAGCATGTGACACATGTTCAATAAATGATAGTTCCTATAATAATGCTAATGATAATTCTTATAATAATAATCATTATCATCATTATTACATTTTTCTCATGAGTGAGATTGGGAAGCATTCTTTTCAGCTCCGTCTGTTGGGCCAGTTCCCATACTCTGGTAGAGAATGATGTGTGGTGAATCCTTACTTATAGGTTAGAGTTTTATGCAACATTTTTACTCCCTGCAAGGAAAAATGCATCAGATAAATAACACGTGGTTGCTAATTAATTATTGGGCAAAAATGGTTTTGCTTCATCTTCCTGGAATTTCCTTCATCCCTAAATTTATTTAAATTTTTATTTATTATTAGTAGTAGTTTAGAGATGGAGTCTTGCTCTGTCACTCAGGCTGGAGTGCAGTGGTACGATCATAGCTCATTGTAACCTTGAACTCCTGGGCCCAAGCAGTCCTCCTGCCTCAGCCTCCTGAGTAGCTGGGACTACAGGCATGCACCATCACACCCAACTAATTATTTATTTATTTATTTATTTTTAGAGACTGGGTCTTGCTATGTTGCCCAAGCTGCCCTTGAACTCCTGGCCTCAATCAATTCTCCTGTCTTGGCCTCCCAAGGTGTAGGGAGTGCAGGCATGAGCCACCATGCCCAGCCTATTTTTATTTTTCAGTTGTTATATAATAGTTGTGCATATTTTGGGTGTACACGTGACCTTTTGATACATATATACAATGTGTAATAATCAAATCAGGGCAATTGAGATATCCATCACCTCAAAATTGATCTTTTCTTTGTGTTGGGATCTTTTCTTTGTGTTACAAATCTTCTATTTTGAAAAAAGAGAATAGTTAATTGTTCAGTATAATTACCTGACTGTACTATTCAATAAATTCCTTTTATCTAACTGTATTTTTGTACCCATTAACCAAATTCTTTTCATATTCCCTCCCCGCGCCCTTTCCCCTCATGGCCTCTTAAACTGATCTTATGTCTTAAAACCCAGCTCAAGTATCACTTCCTCTCCGCAGCTACTCACCCAAGCAGAATTAGATGAATTAGGAGAACCTAGGATTTGTTCAAAACCTTTTAAAAAATCCAGCTAAACTCATAGGTATTATTTTAAAACTATACCTACCATAAATACTTCAGATTCTCAAATACCCAGTAAGTGGTATTCTTTTAATTTGAGCTTTGAAGCTTCCAGAGTTAAGGAGATCCCAGCAGCATAGCAGTTTAGCTCAGGTAACCTCATATTTTGCTTTTTTTCCTATCTTTTCTGTAGCAGAGGGGTGGCAAAACTTCTTTATAAAGGGTTACAAAGTAAATATTTCTGGCTTTGCCGATAAGAGGTTTCTGTTACAACTAACAGAAGAAAGTTAGCAAGAAAGCAACACAGACCATAGGTATACGAATGGGTGTGACCATGTTCCAATGAAACTTTATTTACAAAAACAGGTGGCAGCCTGTAATTGTTGACCCCTCCCTTAGCACCTTCTGGTATATGAAAATGTTGTATCTTTCACCATGGCATGTTTTCAGCTTAGGCTTTCTGTGCTTGGTCATGAGAGCTCTGGGCTTTGGTAAAATTCTTAGGAAAATGTAGTATGTTGATAGCCAGAAATGGCCCCTAGAATTAGTGATAGGCTAACTATGACATCAGAATATCTTCCTGGAATCTGCTTTCATGGTTATAAGCTTATCTGCAGCTGGTATGCTTTAGAAATACCTAAAGATTGAGTGGAATTTTCAGAGTGATGCATTTATTGGTAACCAATAAAATGGTTAGGTAGGTCTTATAATTTAATGCAAAATCCATCACTTGCTATTTGTTGGGGTGCCAAGTGAGACTCAGTTTATGTAAATCCTTTCTGATTTATGGTTTCATTAGAGCAGAATCATTGATTAGGCCACAGAAATTCAGGAGGGATTTCATTACCCTGACCCAATTTGCAATAGAACAGGTGCCACTGCTTCTGTTAGCACTTGTCTGCAATGTGTCTGTTACCAATGAAGATGCTGAGAGATGTGACATCTCATTGACAAGAAGCAGACGTGCAGGATTCCCATTGCTAGCAAGCAGTGGTGTTTACCAAACCTGACTCAGCTTTGAGGGAAGAGTGGGAGGCAGGAGGAAGACCTCATAGATTTGACCTTAGGCAGGGCCCATCTATGAAATCAAGAGCTTTCTTTTTCATACCCAGTTCCTTCTCAGCCAGGAAACAGTCAGCTCTTTTATTTGGAAGCTAATGGTGTTCTTCAGAGGTATGTGTGTGTGAGAAAGTTATTTTATGCTCTTTGACTGCTCTACATTTGGACAGGAACTAGAGCATGTCTTCAGAAAAGACATGGTGGGAGGGTCTTTTCACAGGAGGTAGATGAATTAACCATTTGGATTTCTTCCGTACTACTCCCATCTCAGAATCAGACTCTGAAGTAAAGGAGGCAGCATTGTTGACTGAGGCCCTTTTCAGAAACATCTACTGTCATGACCTTCCTTCTTGCTGATCCATAGCAGAGAGAATCCCAGAACATCCAGCCCACTTGTCCACATGCTAGGGCCTGCTCTGCCCATCAGGCAATCAGGAAATGAAAGGCATATTTATCTGGATAGTGAGATGTCTCTTTTTCATGAAACCCTACAATTTAAATGACAATTAACAAAGAACAATGCAGATGAGTTCAAAAGTCTGTCATCTTGAACTAAGCCCCCCCGTGAATTTTGCTCCATATCTCTTAATTCCATCTTTAAAAGTAACATAATCATCTCTCACAATTTTGTGAGAAATACTTTTGCTCTTTATCTTCTGTTTGATTTTTGCCTTTTCCTCTACATTTCTGAGTGGACTCACAAGAGGAGGAGGGGGTTGGACAATTACTGTTCTGACAAGACCTGGAAAGCCCAGTGGACTTCTAAAGCAAATTATTCCGTTCTTCTTGCCTCCTCCCCTTCTCTGAAACAGAAAGTAATGAAAAGGTGAGAAACACTCGATTTCTGTGTAAAGTAATTTGTATCCTGCATATGGAGAGGCAGCATCGTTTGCTCTGTGGACTGATTGTCCACAGACTGGCTGGCAGCATCGTTTGCAGAGAGGTGGGACCGAGATGAGCTGAGGCGCATCTTTTAGGGAATGAGCTCTGTGGTATGCTATAGCCGTACTGCCTCTGCCACCCTGATGTTATTGATTACAAAAATCAAAGTGGCCGTGGCCTTTCAATACCTGCACCGAAGGCCTTTCAATTAGCATATTTATCATCTCTCTCTTACTGTGACCATCCAGTCATTAGTCTGAGGGAAATTACCCTGTGACAGTGTCATTCCTCAGAAGTCTAAGTCGAAACCTTTCTCATGCCTGCCTGGAGCATTTGAAGTTTTCCAAGGTTTATTTTCTTTAGGACTCTGATGAGCCACCTTACCTGGGGAGGCTTAGACTGGGAATTTGAGACAACTTCCAGAGAGTGGCTTTTGCTGCTGATCTCAATTTGCTTAATTATAGAATATCCATACGGCTCTCCAGTCTTTTTAAAAATAACGTTTATTTTAATGATCACATTTTATGAATTGATTATTTAAATACAGGAGACAAGGTAGGGATGAAGATATGGTCCACCCACATAGAATGTTTCTGTCATTGTCATGTTAATGAATGAATGACCTTATTTTCAGCACTAGCTGATAGGCTTTATATATTTTACAAATGAAATAAGGTTAAAACCCATTTTGCTGAGTTATAATTGATTTCCTCAAGTTATAGCTTGCTAGCTTGATTATGAAGTTAATTTTTTTTAACTGAGTCTTACCCAATTTTCTTATATGGTTACTGTCCTCCGCCCCACCTTTTATTGAGTAATCAAGATGAAAGATACAGGCTACATCTTTACATTTGACTTTTTTCTTTGTTTGAATTAAACCTAGGACTTTAAAGTTAATAAGAACAGGTTCTGACTGACTTATGGTGTTCACTGTATCAACAAACTGGTCTCCAAGCTAGGGGCCCAGGTACCTTGTCTTCAAATTTTGTGTCATGGCAGATGCTGTAACTAATTCCCTTGTCCTTTAGGGAAAAATGAACATAACGAAGTCAATGGGCGGTTTAATCCACAGGGCTATTGGAGCAGCTGGGACACCCATAGGAGAAGAACTATAGAATTGCTAGGAAAGAAACATGCAAAGGGAATCAAGGTGATGGATGCTGGCAGGGAGAGGCCACTTTGCAGTTCATCGGACTCACGGTCTCAGTCACACAACAGCACCACCCGAACAGCCTTAATCACCACTGCAGCTTTTCTCTGATACCTCAGGACAGTTTGTGCTGGCAACATGAAATTCATTTACCCTCCTCTTTACTTTGAGGTAATGGCTGTAGCAGGAGCCTGCCCACTTGAAGTGTGAGGCCATTAGGTGGAGAAGGGGAGTGTGCACTGGAATAACATCTAGGCTCCTGCCTGGGAAGAAGTAATAAAAGCATCAATGTAGACCCAGCAGAAAAAGATTGCTCATGAATTTCTGGTGCTCTCAGTTAAAGGATGAAAAAAAAAAAAAAAAGGTCAACAATATTGACCATGTATTCGCAGGACCACTCCAGGAAAACAGACCCATCATTTGACCCATCCCGAAATTCTTAACATACTCCTCAGGGTTTTATTCCCCTCGTAATCAGCTCTAATTGTATCTTCAATGTCGCCAATGACGTTGGAGGGTTTTGCTGCATTTTTATGACTTCTAGTATTGGGAAAAAGTTCTTTCCGA